GGCTTTTTTTGGGCAAAGTGGGGTTAAGTGTCTTGCCCAAGGACACAAGGACAGCAGTCATCAGTGGGAGTCGGTGGAGAAGGTGTAGAGGTGGGAATTGAACCCACGACCTTCAGGCCTTAAGGCCAATGCTCTACCAACTGAGCTACTGCCGCCCCAATCATTGTATATTGCTCTATTTAGACTCCTACACAGATGTGGTTTTATGACTCAAACAGGGCAGTACTTGCATACAGCTAAAACACATTTTGCCTTTTCTTTGTTGAAATTTAAAACGACTCAACTCCATGTGCATGTAGGAACTAAGTGCTTCTGCAACATTAAAGATAAAAATCCCTGATTACATAAATAGTGAGCAACTTGTTCAAATTCATCTCAAAGTAATGCCTTGACTCTGTAATTTGTGGCGAAACACCTCGCTCTGTTATCAAAGAGCCGGGGTTACGATAAATAACCTTACGTTTCCATAAGCTGTGTATAAAGTTTACAGTCTCTGGTATAAAGCCACGTTGTTCAATGATGACAAAAGTGACTGTGTCCATGGACTCTGACGTTACACCTCCTTCTGTCTACACTCCACGTGTTTCAGACAAGTTTGTTTCTTTCAAGTTGAATGAGACTCACTCGAGGGGGAGCAAATAGATGCGGGGGCGAGCGCAGCACAGAGAAGGCAAACAGGCGAAGCGGCAAAAGTGAAATAGAGCCACTATCTCGTTAATGTGAAAAAGCTTATCATCAAAGTTACTTTTGTTTTAGTATCACATACAATAATTATCACCCACAACTAGTGGTTAGTGTGGTGCCTTTATGCTGTTGATGCTCTAAGATTAATTGTTTGGAAGGACCCCTCAAATGGACCCCCGCACCAGAAAAACTACACAACCTAGACACAACCCTTGTCAAAAGTGAAGGCACCAAGCTTCATACTCAAATCTGCTGGGTCACTACAAGGTCAAATGTGCACAAATATACTGTATACCTCTTCTTTTCCACATTTAGGTGCACATTTGATTATTAAAACACCCACACAAATCAGAACATATTTTTCCCCCTAAAATGTGTTTCTAAAATATAGTATGGGTCTACCCGTTAATGTCCCTTAATATATTTTTTGTTTTGAAAATATGCAGAGATTTATAACAACCCCCACCAGTGTTTCTGTGTGTGATGTGTCTGTACTCTGCTCCTGCGTGAGCGCGACTTGTGCCTCCACACAAAAACACAAAAATAATGTAGATAGCAAATTTCCTCTGCATCGAAGCCAGAAACGTGTTCTCATCATTGATCCAAGCGTCTGCAGCCTCTAACCCCCCGGAGCACAAATCGTGATCAGTTACAATTTACCCAACTCAAGTTTGATTGTAATCTACATTGTTGGAGTCATGCTGCATAATCCTGTTATTGGTATGCATTTTTGAGGGAGAGATTTGCTGCAAGATCCCTGTGTAAAGAGGCGGCTAATTAACATGGCCTTCACGTTTGCCGCCTGTCTCAGCCTTGCATTGATCATCTTCTGTTCTTTGTAAACACTAATGAAATATGCTGCAGGCTTCTGATGTATGTTATCCCCACTTTTGTATGTTTCACAAAATGACTATACACATGGTTATTTGTGCAAAGCCAGCTCTGTGATTTATGATTGGACCAGCCGTTTATCTGCCAGAGTACTGAGACCCCACCGCGTTACCCCTCCGTATTGAACATGTAGAGTCTAGCTGGTCAGGCATATCTAGGCTATTCTAAAAAAACACAATTAATCCACAGATTGTCACATGTTCAGTGACATTTAGCTTCCTCTCGGACATGTACAAGACTTTGGTGTCGCACACAGAGGCCCAGTCTGTCCAATCCAATCCACTTTAAAAAATGTACAGTGACACACCGAAAAAAAAATACTAGGAACACAATCAAAATGTACCAAAAAGAGAATACATAAACAAAAGCAGTACTATAAGAAAACAAAGGCAATTAAATATAAATGGTCCTGGGTTCGATTCCACCTCCAGGCCTTTCTGTGTGGAATTTGTATGTTCTCTGTGTCTGCTCCAGTTTCCTCCGGGTGCTTCGGTTTCCCCCACTACTAAAAACGTGTACAATAGGTATGAATGTAATGAGTGAGTGAATGGATGGTGTTTGGACAGAGGCTTTGATGCTCCGTGAGGAGAGAGTGGAAAAATATGGGAACTCTGATTATTGTAAAGCTCTTTGGGTGACCTTGGTTTGTATAATGCACTATATAATTAAACACTAGTTAGTAATATCAATTCTAAAATGCACAGGAAGCAAGAACCAATAAGCTTAATGTGCTCAGATTTTTTGGTTCCTGATAAAAGCTGTGCCGCTGAGTCAGTCAGTCTCTCCTCCACTCACTGCTGTCAGTCAATATCCTGGCCAGTCATTTGCATGTTAACTCGCTTCTATAGATCCCCTTGAGGAAAACAGTCGATGCTGGCAGGTGATTGAAGGCTAACATTTGTACGCATTTAACCACATACTAAAGTCAGAGCAGACAAGAGCAGCCTTGGTGTAATACGAGTCCTTCACAGACTAACCTTGTTATAACATGATGTATAGAAAGTGAACAGTCAGCTAATGTTTTGTCTTGTTCAAGTGCTGAGCTATGTGCTTTTATTTGATTTGCTCCTCAATAGTTCTTGTATCAGCTTATAAGATTACACAAAGTATGTAGAGAAAGTCTTTCACTATCGGCCCAATTCCAACCTCTGCAGGGAGAATGCAGGAAACAAAGTTAGTGCTTTCCTTAACACAAAAATAAGCAAGAAATGTGAAATAATATCTTTTGTAGAAAGAAGAAAATATTTGAAACAAGTATGAAGGGTAAATAATGCTATCTGTCTCCCTATGCTACCACTAGAGGAAGATTTATTATTTTTCAGATTTGAACGTTATGTGATTCTAAATGTAATTTTGCAGGATAAATTACTAATATTAATTATGGTCCATACTTCAGTTTTAAATGAAAGAAAACTGCTCTCATCATACGATTACAGCAGCTTTTAGACACAAGTAGGCCTGTCGCGATATTCAATAAATCAATTAATTGCATGATAATTTAAATTAGCTCAATAATTTTCCTGGTCGCGATAAATTCCATTTGCTTGTTTGTTTTCACGTCTCTCTGTCTCCCTCTCTCTCTCGTCAGAGAGCCGCAAAGTGGTCACGGTCTAGCGAGCAGACTGAAATAACTCAAAAATACAATATTATTAATATTATTAATATTATTGCACATCGCAATAATTCCTGAGACCAATTAATCGTCCAGAAAAATTTTTAAGCAATGTTTGTAACGTGGTTAAAAGACACAAAATTGAGATTTGGCATAAGTTGTCTAGGTTTCCTTTAAATTACAAAGACAGTTTGTGTACATAATTATAAATGGTGAAAGTACGAGGTCATACAAGTTGTAGTGATAACTTCAGCAGGGCCTTTTCATTGTCTTTCAGAATGTTTCTGAGCCTTCTGCAGTCCAGAGCTGCAAATGTGGTCTGAGCAGATACTGTTCCGTTTGCCGCGTCGTGGACAGAACAGTCCCTGCAGATCAATAGCCCCCGACAGACCGGTGAGGTGGTGACATCAATTACAGACCCGATGAGGATGATAAAGTAGCTTCCTCTCGGAAATGGCAGTTAGCCTAGTGTCAGTGTGTACAGAAAATGGTCCAACACAGCCTTTTCTTTTGATTTAGAACGTGTACATTTTACATATGTCTGAAAATAAATTGTTTCAAACCCTGATGGACAGATTGGGTGCACAATACATGACTAAATTCACAATAACAGTTTGTGGATGCTGTTTTGTTTCTTTCCCTAACTTGTTAATGGAGGTGAATTGTTGATTAGAAGCAGACTGATCAGTATGCTGCCTTTCTTCCCACTTTATTGATGGGCTCAAGGTCCCACACATCTCATCTTGGCGTCCATGTTTGCACTTCTGAATGATACCTTTCATAGTGTTGTGTTCATGTTTGCAGAGTGTGTGAGGGTTTAGCAGGTGCTTTAGCTTCTATTCCTATAGCTCTTGAGTGCTGAGGAAGGAATCTTTGGGTCGTATGGGATCACACAAAAGCAGCTGACAGCAAACACGACCCCTTTTAAAAAGCAGAAATGGGATTGATTCCTCTATGCCTGTTGCCTAGCAACTGCACAGCCTTTTGAGAGAGAATATTGACCTGTTGTTGATAAAGCCCAATTACATTTTCCCTGACTGTGTCTATCCTGAGGTTTTACAATGTCATATTGTGCTTCCCCTGAGTACAGTCCATTGTCTTGTCTGAGTCACCGAAAATAAATATTAGCCTTTATAGCGGCCCTATGCTATTGAGAAAGGACCATGAATATCACTCGGCAGAAAAGGATTAACAAGGATACCGAGAAAACGGCCAGCCTTGTTCCAAACAAAAACATACAAATGCATCTTTTGCAAAATGCACTTTAGAGTTGGGACTTGGCCAACAAACTAGCGTTCCAGGTATTTTATTTTCCAATACACATTCTGTCTCTGTTATAGTATTGTATATTATATATCTTCAAGGTACAGCTTCTACTCCTCCTCATTTGACATAATCATTTCTCACTGCACAGGGCTTATTAGGGCAGGGCTCTTGGTTGGAGATGGCGAGCTCTGGTTCATATTGCAGATAATTAATAGGTTTCACCTTACTAATGGCACCGTTGCTCCGACAGCCAATCTCCTAACGCTGACAGAAATGTAACGGCCACAGCTAACATATTTATCTGTTTTGCTGCAGCTTTTAAAATACAATCGATGTCTAAATTTCATTAGTTGTTCAATGGTTTGTTGTGCTCACTGACTGTAAAAAAGCAGCCTGCGTACTATAATTGCAACTGTTCCAGTGCTAATCGATTCGTTCTTTCACAGCGTGGTGGGTGTGCAAACTGAATCTTGTATGAACAAATCCACTTGTGCAGAGACGGACTGATGTTTTTGAAGTCTAGTTTGATATGTAATTTTTTTCACAGAGCACGTGTGCTCCATCATCGCCTCCATGCTGCGGAATCTCAAGTCTCAACAGAGAAGCAGACTACTGACCAAGTTCACAGAAAACGACTGCGAGAAGGTTTGTGCGTCTGTTCCCTCGTGTTAGTTAGATTTACTGTATTTTCAAACCTGCAGAAAAAAAAATCTATGCGACCCACAAGATTTCAATGTACCAGTCCTCACTCAGCCAATCAGCTCAGTTCACAAAATGTTTATTAAACTGAATTCTCTTTTTTGTTGTCTTTCTGCTACTGAGAGTTTACAAAAACTTGTCTTGCTGTGATAAACAATGTATTCATGAAGCAAACAAAAACTTTAATATCCTATCCCCCTAGTTAAGACACTTTCTTACAGACCTGTTGAACTTATTATCAAAGTACTAAACAAAGATAACAATTTCCTTGCTAGTAGCTCACATGGCAACGGCGTATATTTATGAATGAGCTGTGCACTTACATGTATGTATGGCGCTTGTGCGAATCTTTTCATTGATCGATTTCCACTAATGAAATAAATCTAACTTATTTATAAAGCACAAGCGTAACTCAAAGTGCTTCACCAAGACTTGAATATAACAATTGTCACAAACTGGCTCTAAGCTTGTGGCAAAATGAGGGACAGACAGGTATGGGTATTTAACATGTTTGTTTTAAATAATAACTACAACAAAAACATAGATTCAAATGAAGAATGAGGTGTGAGTATGTGAGCAATGGAATGTGTGCAGTGTGTGCAAGTCAGTGAACGAAAACCACTGTGTATATATGTCGGAGAGTGAAGCCAAATCTAATCTTAATGAAATAACAAAGAAAGAAACAATGATCCAGTACCTGGAGGGAGCAGAGCAGAGAGAAGAGTTAGTCAGACACATTTTTATGCACGGGTGTCACTGGGTCCTCCCTGTCTGAAAGGGAACCGCCCCTGTCAGGTAGGGAGGGGTCTTCTTAAGACGAGGGTCCACCCTCAACTAGGGGTGGGCGATATGGCCTAAAATTCATATTGCGGTATAATTTGGGACACAGACGGTAGACGGTATATATTGCGGTATAATTTGGTGTGTGAATTTCAATATAGGTCTAGCAGGTTCTTGCATAAAATAGTCAAGATTGTTACTTATTTATATATTATAATCTAATATATATATTTTTTGAGTTAGAAAATCAGTTGTGAGACGAATAAAGAGACAAATGTTGTAGCATACATTATTTATGTATGTTACAGTACATTTTTAAAATTTTTGCAGTGAACTGGATGATTCAATGGATTTATCTGCATTAAAACAGCATATTGGATTTGAACAATCGATGTAAATGATTATTTTGGCACAATCATCAATTTTGTTTAACAAAGTAGCTTTTGTGAGATATTGACCGCGGAGGTCCGAATCTGACGCTAACTTTCCCAAACTTCTGCTGTGATGCTGCGGACACGGCACACGCATGGATCTATTTTGGCTCACGCTGGCGCTTCGAGCCTACGCCCCTTTGACACTGATTGGCCAAAAGGTAGACGCTTAAACTGTGATTACTGTGTGTGTATTTACCTCTGCTGGGGCCGCTGTGACAACAATACAGAGACAGAAACACGGTGTTAATGCCATGCTGTTGTTTGTTGTTTCCAGTGGTGTCTGCTAGGCTAATGCTGCTAGGCTAATGCTGCTAGGCTAATGTGCTAGGCTAATGCTGCTGAATGCCGGTTTGTTTTGATGCTCTCTGCTGGCGTCAGAGCCTGCGCAATTTGATGACATAATGACCTATTGCAATATGCCGGTATAACAAAAATCTCTACCGTGGGCCAAATTTATATCGCATACCGCTTATACCGTTTATATCGCCCAGCCCTACCCTCAACCCAGACTTTCGGCTCCAGCTATTGCCTTGCTTCCTTCAGCCAGCCAACTGTCAGTCCCCCAACTCAGGAACCCTGGTACCTGGGAAGCAGTTTAAGAGTGTAGGAGCAGACAGAAGGCAAAGGAAAACAAACACAATGAACATTAATAATAAATGGAACCAGAGACACTACAAACAGACTAACTAACTAACTAAAATTAAAAATAAATAAATTCACATTCAAACCCAGTCATACAAACTGTTAAAAGGACAGTCTTCAGCCTGGAGTCAAACATGAACAATTTTGCCGAAAAGGACACTTCACTCACTCAGGTCTCTGCATTTGTCACTTTGTGCAGGAAAGTTCCTCGCCCTCGGTGCTTAAAAAAGCTCCTCTAGATCACTACGATTAAAAAAAAAAGGCTCTTTCACAATTAAGTGCAAGTAAATCATCTTTTTTATGTTACCCCTTTCTGTACTTAAGATAATGGATCGCAAATTTTTTTCTGAATATCTTGGTACCGCAGTTTATCCATGTTATGAGTGTAATACAAACAATACTGTTTGACAAGGATGTACAGACCCTGGAGAAACTGAGCAGCATTTTACTTTACATATTATTCCAGTTTCCCGGTGGAGCAGGTTCACTGTGGGTTCACCCTTGGAAGTCTCTACATTATTACTCGCATATGTCAAACTCCTCATGACTATTCTCATAAGGAGAAGACATATCAAACCTGGCACTTGTAGTGTTTTCACCCACTGCTTTGGAACATATGGAAAACTGCTCTTTTATTTACATTTCATGTTTAATGTCAGCAACTTAAATTGTATTTCATGTTTTGAATATTGGATATTTCTGACCATGGGACACTATAGTGTACAGCAGGGGCCAGAGTATTACCAGACATACTCCTGTGTGGCCGGCCCCCAAAGAGAAACTGAAATCAGACTCAGATTCATGTATTTGCCATTTGCAGTAAAACCACATTGGAATAAATACGCAAAAGTCCCCATGTGTTGTTCTAATCTTAAATCTTTAAAGTAAAACTAAGGGGCTTGATGCAGATGAGTTAATTCAGTCAATACTGCAAAACTAATTAAACATCCTCCATTATGAATCCTGCCCCTGATTCACAAGACAAACTGATTAAAGAATAAATTCATGTCCAGCAAAACTTATTTAGTGAAACGTTTGTGCTCAGTTTTCCCCATGTTGCCTCCAGTGAGGGCGGGTCCCAGAGCATGTCAGGCGCTGACATGCTTCCAATCTCACTCCAGGCAGGTGGGGGTGTACCCGGAAATAGAATGACCCAATGCCTTTGTATGCCGGCTTCTTTCCTCTCAAAAAATGCTTTACAGGATGGTCCAAAAGTCAGATGTGTGTCAATAGGAGTGTATTTATTAGTATTATTCTAGTTTCTATCCTCTGTGGACTTTTGTATGCACTTGTTTAATGAAGGGGACGGTGCCGGCTAACTCATTGGCGAATGCGTTTAAAAAAAAAAAAAAAATTTCCTGCCTGAACGTCATTTTTAAAAAGCCCACAGAAGGCAAAAGTGATGGCACATTAGTTTCATTGGTAGATAGAGGCCTGATTATGTTAATATTTACAGTCTGTGGTTGCCTCCTCTGCAGGTTGATCGGTTGATGGAGCTCTACTTCAAATACCTGGAGGCTGTTCAGCAGGCCGACAAGAGGATCGAAGGAGAGAAACATGTAAGATTTCCACTATTTCACTGCATACATTCATGTTTTTTTTCCCTTTGGTGTCATTGTATCTTTAATTTGTCCTATGTAGATGACAGAAAATACGTTCAGCACAAAACAAAGACGGCCCAGGTTTTTTTCTTGACATTTAACTTCAAAGAGGCAACTGCTGACATTTCACACTAATATCTCAGGCGACATTTGTTGACAGTTGATTGAGGCTTTTGATACTTTTAAAAATAGGCCTTTTGTGATATTGTCATTAACCCTATAACCCAAAATATGTCTTTTCTTGTTGTAAATTGCAAGATAGATGTCAAGTCGCGCTGTATCAATGCGGCTATATACAGCAGCACGGTGGCAGAGTGGTTAGCGCTTGTAGTTCGCAGCAAGAAGGTCCTGGGTTCGATTCCACCTCACCATTTCTCGGTGGCATTTGGGTTAGGGTTGTGTCGGCGTTGGTTTCCTCAAGAGTGCTCCGGTTTCCCCTTCCACTAAAACATTTGCCCCTTGTATAGGGCAAGTGAGTGAGAGGAATGAGAGGAAAAATGCACATGCTCATATATAATGTGATTTTTGTGTAGTCTGGACCTCTGTTATACCTGCATTACTACTAAACATTATTATCTGAACTCATTTGTTCTGACCACATTGTTACTACAGTATCTATATTTTCAGCATCCGAGTCATTTAGATCTCAGGTGATGACGTTTCTGTTCTTATGGTATTGGCACAAATGATTTAAAAAGCCCTGTCTCATTTTCTTCTATCTGAAGGGACTCGAGATAAACCGTGGGACCAGTTGGGCTAATGCACATTAATCAACATTGATGCCTTAAGCGAGAACAAATATTGGATATTCTTTTTGCCGTAGGGAGAATATACATCTCTGTATTCCTTCTTGTTAGTGCACAATCATGATTTTTTTTTTTTCTTTCAATAATTTCAATGTTTGGCAAAAAACATGAATTTGAATTATTTGTTTCTGCAAGTTCAATTCTTCAGGTTAAAACGGGTTAGGGTCAGGGTCAGTAAAAACATTAAATATTTCTCTAATTAAAATCCTACGTTTTATCTAGATGAGGCAACTCTATCTCTGTGTAGAGCGGCTGGTTCAATCTCTATAAAATGTCTTTTATAGAGATTGTTTTGTTACTTTTTATAGAGACAGAATAAGTTCAGAAAGCCGTTCCAGTGCTTATCTCTTCCACTTCATTCTTTTGGCACAAAATTTAATCGCAAACTGATTAACCAGTGGTGATAACCATTTTATTCTGCACCACTGCTTTTGCTATCAGCAAATAAAATAATTCAAATAACTGGTCGCTTGTTTCTCATAATCCTCGACAGAAAGGCCCTGGATGAGGTCCAGACATTTGCACAGATAAGGCTTTCTTGCACATTGAAATCTGTGAGCAGGAAGTGACCAGAAACAACATGGCAGCTCCTCTGATAAGAATATGACAGTGGAGATACATTGGGCACGATCCTATTGAGCTGTCTGCGGGTGTCACAGACTGGAGAGCGCCGTCACAAAGGGCTCTGATCGGCTGATAGCAGATAAGTGCTCAGGCTGAGGATAATGGCTTCAGCTGAGAGGAGAGTGCTCTGGCCTCATGAGCGGACACATGACAGAGGCTGATGGATGCACGCTGCATATTGGACTGAGATGGAATGTTTCCAAGTGGATAAATTGCACAAAGCATACACTAGAACATATTTCAGTATATTTCACATTTTGGATCTTTTACATCATTTGTTTGGACTCTAGTGTTTGTTTTCCAAGGACCAAGTGGCAGATGTTAAATGACAATGTTATGCAGTGGCACAATAATTTTTTAAGGGTTTTAACAAGTTAATTGATTAATCACATAGAGTCAGTTATTGAAATGGTTGTCAACTAATTCAGTTACTGAATAATCATATGTTGAACCTTACTGAAGAGGTTTTATCACTCTATATTCTAATTCTATAAGGATTGCAGAATGAAATGATGTGTTTATATATTTATATTGAGACCAAACTTGCTTGTGAAAGCCAGATCCCATCAGACCTCTGAAGCTGTGCTGGGCAAGGCCTGGTTAGTACTGTGATGGGAGACCTCTGAGAACACCAGGTGCCACAGTGAGGCAGCTGCAAAGACACTTCACCCACATTAATGACACATACTAGTTGCCCCAGGGCAGCTGTGGCTACAGTAGTATTTTATCACCACTGTGTATGGAGTGAATGAATAATGACACAATAAGCGTCTTTGAGTGTCCTGAAAAGCACTATGTATAAAAACCGTTGCATTATTATTATGTATTTTTAACAAAAACAACCGACTGTGTAACAAGATGGTCCTGGGTTTGACAGGGATTTTCTTTGGAGTTGTTCTCCTTGTGTCGATCCTGCTCCTAACACTGTGTGCAGAGTAGAGTTTCGCTTTTCAGCCCGAGCCCGAGCAGGCCCGAGCCCAACCCCGAGTTTGGGCCGGGCTCGGGCCTCCTTTCAGCGCTCAGCTGTCGGGCCGTGCCGGGACGGGCTTCTTTCTTTTTTTTAATCATTATTATTATTTTTTGGTGATTTTTATACATAATGATATGCATATATGTATTTATTAATAATAATGTTATTTAAAAAGTTAATATATTTATAACACCGTAACTGGCGTGTCCTACAGCCGCAGCAAGCCTTGAACGCGTCATCCCTGTTTTTCCTGTTGAATGCTGTCAACGGTGAACACACGGAACATTAATCGAAATGGATCAGGTGGACGCACAAAATACACTCAGAAGTGGCTAAACTTGCAATTGGAAGGTGAGTGCGCACAACAAGGGAAATCAGATGTGTCGGGCTCAGGCCTATACGGGCTCGGGCTTAGTATTACAATACAATACAATACAATTTATTCTTGTATAGCCCTAGGTCACAACAGAAGTCATCTCAGAGGACTTAACAAAACCATTGAAATCACCAACACAGGTCAGAGAATCAACAGCCAAAACACATGAAGAATATAAAGCACACACAGAAGTGTCCATACATGTTGTAGAATGCTAAAGTGTCCTGATCATCACCAATCCTTTCTGTTGGACACTAACTGTCCAACAAGACCCTCCTGCATCGACAAGGAAAAACTCTTAAAAAACCCAGTGGGAAAAAGTGAGAAACCTTGGGGAGAACTAGGGAAACCCACAGGGAGGGAGACCCATTTGAGAAAGGGATCCGCTCCTCCGGACGGACAGGCTAATGATCTAGGACCTAAGCTAGCTACAGAACGTGGACCAGTGGCCGCTGAACGTGGACAGGTCCGGTGCAGGACTGAAGCACTCCCAGGCGGGTCGGGCGGGGCAGTCCGCAGGTGTAGATGGAGGAGGCCAGGCTCAGAGATCCCGTCATCGTACCATGAAACAGACAAGGGGACAACGGGTGAATAGCAATGAACAAACTACAGTCAAAATCTTAAAAATGCTAAACAGATAAAGTAGGAAAGAGGAGAGAATAGTGCTCAAGTTACCATACTTCTCCCAGCAAACTGACTCCCTAGGCAGCTTGACTGACAGTCTGAGGAGTTTAGCCTTCCCTGAGTCTTACCTTCCTAGCCATATGCTAAACTAAAGAGGACTGTTTTAAACCTAGCCTTGAATAAAGAGAGCGTATCTGAAAGGAGGCGAGACAGTAGCAGCAGCTACGGCTAGGCTAGTCTAGGTTACAGCACCAAGATTCATGGATTGTACACCAGGTGTGCATATTAGCGGGCTCGGGCCGGGTCGGGCTTGATTTTTCAGGCCCGAACGAAACTCTAGTGCAGAGTGAGAGTGAAAATAACATGTCTCTCACCTTTTTGGATCCAAACAAATAATCAAATAATTGTTCATTACAGCTATCATCGCTACATCATTCATTAAAAATACTTTAGTTGGCCGCATAATAAAAACTTTAAAATTCTTCGAAATTAAATGTGACATAAAAATGTCGGAGGCAAAAAATTAATTTAATTGGACTGATTAGTAATCTGAATAATGAGCCTTTTACAAATGAATGTTGACATTACCCTTGCAAATTGTAATATCACTTCTACAATGTGTGTAGTTTTGATCGATACTCACAATTACAACATGCTCTATTATGACAGGTCTGTAGTTACAATCTGGCATCCATCTGACCTTTGACAATATGAAATGCCCTGCCTTAAGCACCTCTGTATCGCCTGATTAGAATGTGCCGTTACATTGTGACGAACCAAGGCCATTGAGAGGAGGAAATGTGCGCGGAGATAGATAAGTCAAACTGTGAGTGAAGATGAATTTCCTTGACAGACAGCGAAGGGGGATCAGCAGAAAAAGGCCAGACAGTTTGACATTTCTCTCTCTCTCCCTCTCCATCGTTCTTCCCGTGTCTGTGCGTGGTGCTGTCTCTTCCGTAGGGATGGCAGAGGTATGACTTTGTGATAATAGCTGATAAGAACGCGTAACACTGGCTTTTGAAGTCACAGTTCACAGCCCTTCTGTGAAGCAGGTGCTGATGCTTCGAGCCCTGGCTGATAAAATATCCATTTGTGAGCAATGATTTCATCGTTCGTACTAAGCCACTAATAACTATATTGTTGGACGCTATGTTTATTCAGAAAATGATGGCCACAAATTGCCACTGATGAAAGTACAATAAAGCCGGATAATCCCACGTCAATGCACATCCCACTAAGCAAGCCGACGTTGAATCAACGTAATTTGAACGTCGTTGTCCGACGTAGAATATAGGTCACTGGTGGGTGCAGAATGAAAGTTTTCTCGACGTCGTTTCCCGACGTCACCTCAACCTCCAAATGTTACGTTGATGGCACGTCAATTCAAGGTTTGAATGTGGTACGGAACCGGTCGGGTCTGACGTCCTATCAACGTCTCAAATGACCAAAATATTGACGTTTATATGACGTTCGTTTTCAGTCGTTCCCACTAAGCAAGCAGATGTCAAAACAACGTAATTCCAACGTCATCTGGACGTTCATTCAAGGTTTGAATGTG